GTCTTCTTACTTACCTCGCCGAGCGTCGCTGCTGCTGCGGTGTGCGGCGCTCCGAGCAGCAGTGACGCGACGCTCGGCGAGGTAAGTAAGAAGACGCGCTGGCGCTGACTCGAGTATAAGCCGAGGGGGGCACTTTTCACCCAAAAAAATGGGCTGAAAATCTCGGCTTATACTCGAGTATATACGGTATGTGCAGATCTGTCTATTTCATCCGCACATGATTGGGTATTCAAAGTGAACAGCGCTACAGGTTACTTACGATCCTTTAGCTGCCCATACACCTTGCCATCATCGGACGAAACTTTTCGTCCGATGATCGAACCATCGTGCGATTTTTCGTACGGCTGGCCCGATTATCGCAAGGTTGGATGAGCGGTAATTAGAAGAAAGCACCTGGACAAATTGCCGTAATCGACGGCACGTAGTCATCTGCGCATGTGCAGTGTAGATCGTACGAATTTTGACGTATGGAAACGCCAACTTTGCGAAAATCGTACGGTCGACTGAAGTTTTCTAACCTGCTAGTTAGTCAAAAGTCGATCAATTGTACAGTATTTGCGGTTGTACACTGCCCATCAACCTTACGAATATCAGACAAAAACGCATTGCATATGAAAAATCGGCCGATATTCGTAAGGTGTATGGGCAGTGTAACTCCTTCAGTTAATCAGCCTCATACCAAGACTGCTGCCTCAATCCCGGCTGTTAGGGACATCTCACTGATAATCCGAATCAAAGTGGCGTTTTGGCCAGAGCATCCCAGGTTGCCTAGAGCTCTTACCAGCCTAGGACGTTCTGTCTGCAATGGGCCTCAGCTTCTATGTGATCAATGTCAGGGCCTCATGATAGGGACAGCCCTGACATTGATCACATGCAAGCTGGAGACTTCTTTGAAATAAGCTTTCACCTTTCAGTAGAACTCTGCCAGCTTCAGGCTGCAGTGCCCTCAGCATAAAAAACAGAACAGGGGGTTTTTTTTTTTCAATAAAAAAAAAAACATTGTACCAAATAGAAGCCTTCTTTGCCTTTAAAAATATATTAAAATGTAGGTATGCAAGACAGTTATTGTCAAGTAACATGACGCTGCCAAATCTGGCATGGGCATCAATGACTTCGGGTCACAAATGGTTTAAAGCCTTGGTTCTCAACTGGTGGGTCGTGACCCAAAAGTGGCTCGCGGCCCCATGTCCAGTCGGTTGCCACATGCCTTCCACTTTTCTAGGTGACAGTATCCTTGTCCTCCCCTTAGAGCACTGTCAGTTCTCACCAGAGCAGCCATTCAAAAATATGAAGCCCGGTGCCGAGTGTCGACTTGAGGTTGGGCTATGGCCACGAGGGAGCTCCATCCCTACGTGCATTGCTTACAGCTCATCACTTTCTGGCTCCTGGCACCTCTACGGGCACACACGGGAGCTTTACAAGCAATACACATATGGATGGCGCTCCATCACAGCTCAGCAGCCCACACTGGACCCCAGGTTGAGGATCCACTCCAATTTGCATAATGGCAACCCAAACACACCTCCTGCCCACAGTTCGACCGCCTGCACCGGAAAGCACAGTACCACAACAGGGAACATTGCAGTGCAACTTGGGTTGCGACTTAATGACCGAGGACAAATGTGGGTCCCGAGGTTAAACAGGTTGAGAACCACTGGTTTAAAAGGAAGCCTTACCCGAGACATACATGGAGGTCTGCCGCTGCCAATTCTGAAAGCAAGACTGCCAACATAACAGCCAACCAAGTAGTAATTTCAGTGGGTCAGCAATGGCGGCCCCCCCATATTTCTTGGCTTGAGAAGGTCTTGCCTTCTTCTGGACTGGTCCAAGGTTTGACCTCCATCATGAGAGAGATGAAAGTACTACAGCCACCCATGTGCAGTACAATAGCCACCCATGTGCTTTTCTCTGATGCTTTTATAAATCATGTGTTTTCATCTCTCGACCTCGACAAAGTATGAGGGCTGTCACTTGAAGCAAGGAGTGCATCTCATGCCCCACAATATCCAGAAGCATCCATAAGATCTATGTATCTTATGTGATGGCGTTGAGGAGGGGATGGAGGACATAAGGGGGAGTAAGCGACCCTTTTACTTTGCACTGCATGGACAAGGGAAAGGGTCATTTTAAAAAGGGACAAACTAATAAAAGGTGAAATTGCTAGAAGTTTGTTTTTTCTTTTGGGGGGCAGAAGTGACTTTACATGTCTCGTTTGTCACACCAATATTTTCCCTTTCTCCTAGCAATTGGTCCTTGTGCACACTGCCTGCACAGTACTCTTGGCATCTGTAAGATGTGCTGCGAGGATAAACCTTCACCATGCATGTGCTGGGGTTACATTATTGGCCACCCAATGGCCAAAGGAAGAAGACTGGGCCAGAAGAAGTTGGCTGAATTAGAGGAAAGCCTTCCAGTAGGCAAGTCTGTTGTAATGTGCAAGCATGCTGTGCGTATGGCAAGAATTCTCAAGTCACAGACACGTTGGGGTTGATTTACTAAAGGCAAACAGGCTGTTCCCTTTGCAAAGTCAACAACCTCTTTGCCTTAACGGCCCATTCACACCATCTTCAGTGCGTTCTGGCCCGATTCTGGCAGGAACGCACTGGATCGCATTGCGGCCGGCTCACTTTGTTGTGGGGCGGGAGGGGGCGTGGCAGTGCATTGACGTGAATGGCCCTCCGGCCGTAATGCGATCAGCCGCACGGGAACGCAAAGCACATCAATGCCTGCGGCCCAGTCAGAAAAATGCTGCAAGCACTAGAATCAGGCTGGAATGCACTGAAGATTGGGTGAGCGGGCCCTTAAAGCGGACCTTTACCCATATCTTTAAAACACACACACACACACACACACACCTTTCGAAATGTTTGGTGATGACAATCTACAAACACATACTTCTAGATCAGGGGTAGCCAAACTCCGGCCCTCCAGCTGTGGTGAAACTACAAATCCCATGATGCATCTCTCTGGGAGTCATGTCTGTGGCTGTGAGAATCTTGCAATGCCTCATGGGATTTGTAGTTTCAGCACAGCTGGAGGCCCGGAGTTTGGCTACCCCTGTTCTAGATCATTGCCGGCTTTGTATTTCTTATGTCTTTTCTTCCCAGTCTTCTGTCAGTGGCCATGTTTACTAAGGGCAGATTACTAGCTCTTTTACTTCCTGGATTTCTGGCACATGTGAGCATGCACATCATCTCAGGGGAGGAAAATGCCTTTCACTGAGATCTGGTGAGATTACAGATGAGATTTCCCAGCAATGCTCTGCTGATGACAAGGCAATCCAGTGTGCATTGTTTTGGCAAATTGAAGTCATTTTCCCTTTCAAAGTAGGACGTGAATGTTCTGCAAGTGGAAGTATTTCACAATCACAGTATTGTACACCTGACATGTCTATCTTATTATTCATCATCATACATAGAGGGAGGGAGGCATTGGTAGAATTCGTTTTTTTGAGTGTAAAAGTCTGCTTTAAGAAAAATCAACCCCATAAACTACTAATTTAAAAAAAAAAACCCTCTCCTTCAGTTCTAACTATAATAATGCATAGAAAACTGTTCTAGCATTTTATAAGTAGTAAAATTAAATGTATAATAAAATTCAGAAAATTAGGTTCTGTCACTTTAAAACAAATTAGAATATCACAGAAAGCTTAAGAAAAATCAACCCCTTTAAGTTAGAATCTGAATGACAGGGCTGGAGTCTGCCCCTTCAAACAATTTTAGATTGTAAGCCCTCAGTGGCAGGGCCCTCCTTACCATCTTGTCTTGAATTGTATTGTGATTGTAATGTCTTCCTTATATTGTAAAGCGCTGCGCAAACTGTTGGCGCTCTATAAATTGTGTATAATAATAATAATAATTGCGGCTCCCCTCTAACTTTCTGCAATGACCCTGTAAAACTGGAGGGGGAACATAAAGGTCATAAAGCTTTTTGTCTGTCCTCGAAGCCAAAAACAAAAACTAGAACCACATTATTTTAAAACACAATATATTTTCTATTTTGTTACAAAAAGTCACATTTTTTTCAAGAGTTTTTTTCTTCCATGAAACAAAAAAAAAAACCATAATAAAACCGGAGATAAGACTGGAATGAAGAAAAAGGGTGGAAAATTAAAAACACACAAAACCTCAGAATAAGTGGGAGAAATAAAAAAAAAAAAACATATATAGGTGAAATTAACCCAGGGAATGCCAGATATAGACTGCAGCCTCCAGTCCAGGACCCAATGTGCACCCATCACCCTCGAGACTGCCATTCTGTAAGGAGAATAAATACTGGGCCCATCAGTTCACAAGGACGTAGTGACATCACAGGAGCAATGCAAGAACTTCAATTCCATAAACCATGTTGCAACTACATCCTTGTAAAGTTTTAGGGTGCAATCTTGGAAACAGTTCGAGGGAACCAGACGAGAAGGCTTAAAGCTGTCACAGCTGAGGTTCCCATCCAGTGCTGGAGGCAGAGAATAACTTGGTTGGTACTGATAAAAAAAGGCCACAATGACCGGTTCCCTTTAAGCCCATGAAATGTCTGACCACAGATCGACCCGATCAGTTCTTAGGCAGTGCTACGAGATCTTAAAAACAGCAACGCCACTAGTTTCTTTTATAATAGGGCCACATTGGAACAGAGGACCATAAAATGAGCTGATCAATGGCTGCGTTTTCCTTGTGAAGCTGCATTCTCCTAGATATTAGTCAAACTGACAAAATGGCTGCCTCCACAGCATGGCAATGAGCACACTTTAAAAATTAGACCCAGGTCAGAACATAAAAAAAGCCCCCCCCCCACCCCCCCCCCCACATACATGACTGCCAATGCTATTAAGATTTAGCAGTTCTGTAGTTGCAGTGCTACTGCCCCGCCTACTCAGGGCCACCATTAGA